GCGTCCAATATGTTGACGAGTTCCTTGAGGGCCTCTGTTATGCACACGGGCCTAATGTGGGGGATGCCCAACTACTGGCCCCTTGGTGTGGGGGGCGCCCTGCCCAAGATATAGTAACGGTACCCCAACCAGCTTATACAATAATATACAATACAGGAGTAGGTCGGGGTGATCCCACCTAGGTCCCCGTAATGAACTAGGTGCCCGGCGAGGCAGGTCCACGGCTCAAAGAGGGCAGGAGCCCCACACCAACAATCCTTATGTATCATTTGGTTTCGGAGCCGCATCAGGGTGGCCCACCTGCTTCGACTGTGAGTGGAGACTAGGATAGTGCCACACAACACTATCCCTGGCCTCCTCCTCCATGGATGCCAAGGAGTCAGAGAGTGCAGCCCGAGAGGGCGAGACCATGGAAACGGTCGAATCTGTACCCCAAGAGGGAGAACCGGCAATTGGGGCCGGTGAACGGGAGGATGCAACCCGAGGGTGAGAGAAGTAGTCCGAGAGGACAAGCCGGGAATGTTGGTGAGCCATGCGCAAGTGGAAGCCCAAGACTAGCCCATGGCCAAGGCCAAACCCGAGGAAGCCGGAGAGGTGGCAGACCCTGAAGTGGTAGTTGTCCTATTACAAGCCCCGGGGTTAATTGCTGTAAGGGTGGAACATTAGGTTCATGCGTAAAGTAGGTGGGCGTATCGCCCCGTGTTGTCCAAACACGCTTAGCACAACTGGGAGTGGTACTTGGGGACCAAACGGGACGGGTTTGAAATAATAAAGGCTGGCAAGCCTTGGGGACTGGTGGGACGGTGAACGGAAGAACAAGGGACAAACGGATTTGAATTGGAAACCACCGGGTATACCAGAAATAGGGTGACTCATCCTATTTCTGGCATGACCCTTGTGATGCCTTGGGAGGGCGGGTATAAATACGAAAACACCAAACACGTTTGTAATCGAAGTTGCAAGGCAAGTTCTAACCAGGCTGGCTCCCGCCTCGAACGGGATACCACGGGCCATTTCCCGACTGGCCAAAAGGGGACATCGCCCCTTACAATAGCCCTCCTGGAGAAGATGGTTGTTTCGGCTACAGCCAAGGTGTAGGAGGCCCAAGATCAGGACATGGCAGCCCGGATCGCCTAGCTGGAGATCATTGCAGCCTCAACACAAAAGAAAGCCAGGCGACATGAAGTTGCCCTGAAGAAGGCAAAGGACAAAAGCCGCGAGGCGGATGTTGCTCGTGCTTCCATGGAGGAGCAAGTTGTAGCCCTGAGCAACCGGTTGTTCATGCAAAAAGAGAGGGCGTGCGAGGTGGAAGAGCAAATCGCGCGATAGGCCAAGCAACCCGAGAGGCTACCGAGTCTGACTGGGGCCAAAATGCCAACAATTCTAGAAGCTCAAGAAGGAGAGAACTGGAAGACCGTCGGGCGGCCCGGGGCAAAGCGAAAAAGCCCCACTATAGGTGAGGCTTAGACCCAGTAGCCCAAGAGATAGAGGTGGCCCCCTCTGTCCATCCACAACAAAATTTGGTTGGCTCCATTAAAATTCCGTACAATCAACAGAATCCGTGAGCAGGCCACAAAGAGAAAAAGTGTCTACAAAAACGGCTAGGGCCATGCGGACGTCAACATAGACGGCTACAAAATCCATACAACCTTCAAGAATGGAACCACGTGTTACGGAATCCGCGCCGCAGCCCACGGATGATAGGCCCCCCATAACGGAACCTCTGACTGGACCATAGAGGTCGACAGAATTCCATCAATGTTCATGGAGCAACACAGACCTTTCAAACACGTTGAACCCCAGTACAGAAATTCCATATGCATGGCGGACGTGGGGTGCGATTGCCTGGGTCTTTGATGGATTTGGCAGTGCACACTGCTCACCCCCCATGGCACATCCATGTACCCCTTCAAATCATTGTTGTCCGTCACGCAGGCAGAATATACGCCCAAAGCGTTCCCAAGCCCAGTACATTCGACTGGCTGGCATGTGATGTGATGCCCCTGGGGTATGTGAAATGCTGCGTCGGGGCCGCCCGCCGCCAATTGCCCCCATAGCGTTAGTACCCTCAAGTGAGTGGTGATAGCGTCGGTGTGGTGGGTGGGTGGTGTGGGTGGGTGGTGTGGGTGGGTGGTGTGGGTGGGTGGTGTGGGTGGGTGGGTGGTGTGGATGGGGTGTTGTTTCTGCTGCTGTTTTCGTTGTGGTTGTTAGATTTCGTTTCCGTTGAGCTTGAGTACCGGCCGCGGCAATGCAATGCCATGGCTGGGAAGGAGCAACGGGGAATTTCGAGTCTTACGGGGTGCACGGGCTTAGCCCATTGGGCTGTTGTTGTTTGTGTCGGGTCGCCGCTGACGCGCAACTCAGCGGACGGATCTGTTTTAGTAGCAGCAACGGTGCTCGAAACAGACACCTTGTTCTAGTTTCGGATAGTTGTACCGCTATTGTTTCGGGTTAACAGCGAGCGATCCACTGGCGGCGAGCATGCCACACCCGATAATGGTGGAAATGGCGCATCGCCGTTTTCCCAAGATTGCGTCGGGTGGGCGGGTTGCCGCTCGCTAATAGAGTACCGGCCGCGGCTTGGCCGGGAAAGAGCCATTGTTGCCAGGCTCGTGGTGTGTATGGGCGGTCGTTGCTTCTCCGAGATCATGTCAGGGTGGGGCGGGGGAATTGCTGTTTTGCTTTGCTGGAGTACTGGCCACGGCTTGGCCAGGAAAAAGCCGTTGTTGCCGGGTTTTTCAAAAGCCGGCTTGGTGGTCGCCATGAAAAGGATGGTCATGACCTCTGCTAATACTGATAGGTGAGGTGGCTCATCCCTAGCTGTCCACTTGCATATCTATATGTCCATCTTCGTTCTTGTTGAACCCATTGGCGAAGTTTAGAGCAGGGATGAAGGTATGCTTTTTTTGCGTGTGTGCAGGGGGTCATTGGTGGGATGGTACATGCAACGCCAAGGGTGGGAAGACCACCGCAAAAGGAAAAAGAAGCATAGAAAGAGCATGGCAGCACGCACTAGGATACGGAGGCGTCCAACTGAGCGCAGGAAGTCAAAGACATGATCGAGGACCATATCAAAGTCCAAGGCGTCAGATGACGAACCATGACGAATTTTGTTATAGTTGCTATGAGTGAATGTGTGCATTTGGCAAAGGATTACTAGCCATTCATTACCGCAAAAGGCGATCATCTAAAGACTATGGGTATTGGCAGGTGTTCATGTGTGCTCTAGCGTGTGGCAGGTTGTGCCTCCAGTCTAGCAAGAAGTACCGGCCGTGGGTTGGCCGGGAAAAAGTAGCGGGAGATTGCCGTGGGGTCCAGGGTGTGTTAATAACAGTAGTCTAGCGTTTGCAAGGGATGGCCGGGAAAGAACAGCGGGTTGCGTTCCCTGTTTGGCAAGGAGTACTGGCCGAGGCAGCATTTATGCATATTTATTTTTGACAACGTGGACTGCAAATATGTAGACATGCGTTGTTTAAACATGTTGAAATATTGGAACTCATTATGTCAGTGTTGTGGCCCGTATCTGGAGGCAAAGGTTGCTGAACACAGAGAAAAAATCCGCTTGGCAAAAATTGCCTCCAACAAAAATTGCAGCTGACCAACGGAACACTACCGGAATCTCAAAGTCCCTAACAGATGGCAACGGAATGCCAAGAAAGGCAACGGAAAAAAGCGCTTTTACAAAAACTGGTGGTTGCAAACACCCCCTTGACGGACAGCTCTAGAGCCAAAAAATTGAAAGCTGACATGGCATGAACGGCTACGGAAACCCGGCCCCGGCAAAGCTAGGGAAAATTGATGGACGGATTGTTTGTATTCAAAAATGTTACAGAAATAAAATAACAGAAAAAAAGTTGAGCAACCACGTCTATCCCGTCGACATCCATGGGCTGAATTTTTCAAGATGGTCTATTCAAGCATAAATCTGATTGTGTTTTCTTGGTCAGATTCTTATGTAGATTACAATCACAAGGCCCAACGTCCAAACAACCTTCAAATGGCAAATCTTCGGAGCTGCTTTCAAATGGAAATATTAGTATCCATCAAATCTTTTGACTTCTGGTGCTACCCTTTCATGAAACAAAGCACGTCCCCCCCTTAAAAGTTTAAGCGGTGATGTTTATGAACAATCGAGATCTAGTCAGATATTATCAATGCTTTTCAATATATCCAGAGCTGGGCAGTCATTGAAGGATGGTGGATTGCCTCATTGTTTCCTTGGCCATTCTCTTGCAACCATCAACCAGGCAGTATATTAGTCACCACAAACCGTAAAGGCATAGCGACCATCTGGTGTTTTCTTAATATGCAGTTTACATCATGTTAATAGTTCTCCCTCGCACTTTTTATTTTTCCAATTCCAAGATATATATATATATATATATATATATATATATATATATATATATATATATATATATATATATATATATATATATATATATTCTTTGCTCCCTTCTCTCCTCTTTTCATTTTCACCCTGACTACTTATTTGACAGTGGCCCGGTCAGCTACCCTATATCGTTCATGAGCCCGCCTTTGATGTACCGATGCTCATGAATAACGGCAGTTTTAAAATAGCTATTTTGATGCATTCTGGACTTTGTTTAGGTTAGACATCATATTTCAACCGTGGACACTGCCTGGCTCGGGCAAAATGGGGAGCGCACGGCTACCTCCTTGCCTTGTAAATTTTCACGGTGATGATGATCCTCGGTGGCGGGACCAATTCACCCTATCTATAATTGCCGCAGCTGAGGTAAGGGCCTAAAAAGGGGGCTGGAACAAGCATTCCAATAGATGCGAAAAATGGAAAGGAATTCATGTTGATGCGGGTTCTTGTTAAACGAGTCATCGAAACAAGCGCACGCCAGTGGCCGACGCCAACCCTCTTAAGGCGGTGCAGCCGCCTCTCCTCGCAAGTGAGTATCCTCCTGCCAGTGCACGACGGTCGCGGCTGAAGGCCCACAACCCACACTTTGCAGCGCTTCGGAGCTGCCATGGCGGATTGTTATCCCTCATTCTCGTGGCGCACCCTGAAAGGGAAGGGCGCTAAAAGGAGGGCTATGAGGGTGCTGGACGGCGACCTGATGCGGCCCGTCCAGATGAGCGCCACGCGTGAGTCTCGACTGCATACCCAAATTAAACATGGGACTGTTCGTGTTGCGGGCAATGCTTTGCGTTGACAGCGTCGATCTGCCGGTGGCTGATTCGCTGCTCAGTCGAACGCTGCAAAACTCTCGATTGCAACTGTTCCAATGCAGTCGTACGAGGGGCTCGGGGAGACGATCTAGCGAGGTGGAGGGTGCCATCTGCCATGGCAAAAGACGTTGTAATGGAAAAGACGAAAACGCAGAACCGGGAGTGGGTGCTGAGAAACGGTGCACGTTGTGGAGCAGGTGTGTCCAACGGCTGTGCATCACGAGCCTTTGGGGCCTTCAAATCGAAAGAAAATGGTGATGAACTCAGGAAGAAGAACCCAATGAGAAAGTACTCCAACAAGAGAGCACGTGCAGGACAGGCTGTGAACCCACAAGGGCATGTTGTACGACAGGGTCAGTTGGATTCTAGGGAGCACCTCATGATACAGGGGATCTGGGGTAACGACAAGCGCACAGAAGGAGGCAGGTTATTGGGTGCTGGAAAGTGCAGCGACAGCGATAGAAAAGCTGGATGTGCATCATTCGCAAATGAAAAGGTAGCTGATCTTGACGATGGGTGTGATGATGTGTTTTGCAAAAAGAATGGGATCTCAGGGAAGAAGCGCAAAGATAGACAGCGGAATAGAGACAGGAGCAGTCCATGTGCTAGTAAAAGAAAAGCTCTGCAAGCAGATGATGCTAGTGAGTCAATTAGAGCCCTGAAAAAGAAAAAGAGGACAACTGCATCAAATCCTGAGTGTGGACAAAAACGTGAAGTCTTTGCTGCTGGGGAGGTAGTTGTTGGCTGTGGGGATGATTCAGTCCTTCGAAAAACGGGGCCAAAGGGCAGGGAAAGGAAACGCACTGCAGGAAATGACACTCTCCGAGGTCGGGACACATCTGAGGCTGTGTCTGATGAGCCAGGAGCGGCTGGAGTAGCAGCGAAATCGAAAGCAAAGGAACAGAGCGCACAGAGTGATGCAAAAAGGAAGGACTGTGCTGTCGAGAACACGAATTTCGCATCTGATGATGCTGATGTTGATCTGGCTGCAGCCGCTAAGAAAGCCTGCGATGCACTACATGAGGATGGACGTGAAGAGATTGCGAATGAAAACAAGCAAGTGCAAAAGGGAAGGATCGCTGGCTTCAGCAGACCAAGGTCTAAATTGCTGGCAAAATTGCATGACCGACTGATGAGTGGACATTTCCGCCACATCAATGAGCTCTTGTACATGAGGTCGGGGAACCAATCCTATGAGATGATGCGAAAGGACAAGGAACTTTTTGAGGCCTACCACAAAGACTACCAGCAGCAGATGAAGTGCTGGGCGAAGCAGCCTGTAGATCAAGCCATAGCTTGGCTGAGAAAGAGTCCCAAGGACTGGAAGGTGGCAGATTTTGGTTGTGGAAATGCCAAGTTAGCGGCAAGTGTTGAGCAGGTTGGTGGCGTCGAATTCAATTTGATTATGTTCCTCGAAGTATGAAGCACGATGCCCTGGCCTTTTCAGCAGATGTTTGGCTTTATTGGTTGCATGTGATGTGCCAGCGATGGCATGCATTTTTGTGCCGCCATCTGTGGACACGGGTAAGCATTTGAACATTGGCCATTCTTGTGTACGTGCTGAAACCTAGTTATGGTGACGTGTGGGCTTGTGCAGGAAGTCACGTCGTTGGATTTGGTGGCCTTGGCACCTGGCGTGATTGAATGCAACATGGCTGACACGCCACTCACGAAAGGATCCCAGCATGTTGCAATCTTTTCCCTTGCACTGATGGGTACGGACTACTTCCTCACCCTCCAAGAAGCCGCTCGTGTCCTTCGCAGGGGCGGCATACTGTGGCTAGCTGAGGTGGGCAGATCCCATGACAGCAGTGCTTCGCCTTAGGCTGTTCCTTGTCATTGAATTATGTTGTTGCTTTCAAGCGCATTGCATTTGGCAACAGTGCGCATTGAAGGTGCCTGTGCCAATCCCACAGCCTTTGTGGCCTTGATGCAGGTGGCTGCAGGTGAAAACCCCTATTGGTCGTATGGACCAATGTAAGTAGCCACCACTTTGGGCCGATTGGTCACCATCGTGTGCTGTTTGTATCAACAGGCACACTTGTCGCCGAAGTTTTCCCGTTCGCTTAATCTGCCGCACAGCCCTAAATACTGCCAGCTTTTGCAGGTTCGGAGTCGCTTCATGGGCGATGATGGCCACGAGGCGTACGATGATTTCAGCAAGGCAATGGGCGCCCTTGGGTTCAAGCGGCTGCAGCTGAAGAAGCCCAGCGAGCTGTTCGTGGTGATGGTATTCAGAAAAACGGGCAAGCAGGGATCTGCTTCCAACAAGAGTGTCTGGCCGGTCCTCAAAGCGTGCGTATACAAGAAACGGTGACTGAATCTTCTACAACATTTAATATTTGCGCAATTGCAAAGGAGCGCTGCTGGCTACGTCCCACTTGGTAGCCTGGTTTGTTCAGCCCTTTAGAGCGCAGTGATTCATATACCCCTCGCTTCCCAGAGCATTGACTGCCTCAGTGCAGGTGGCGAATTGCAACGCAGACCCACGGCGCTCATATCTCCAGTCGTCCCTCAACGTTCCGCAGCCCTGATGCCGCTTGGGGTGAATCCACACATGGCCACAAGCATGCTGCTCGATTCGCGCCAGTGCTTGCTCAATTCCAACGCACCTCAGACCGGCTTTTGGTGGCCGCGCACTTGCACAACCCAAGTCCGCGTACAACGAAAACGTACAATCGACACACCAGGGACACGCCTGTCAACAATTGATCAAGTTGTACCTCGCGCTTGTTCGCTGGCAACTTTCATGCCCACCCGTCGTTCCCCAAACTCTCGCTCCCTCGCTTTCTTCTCAACAAGGAAAAACTGCAAAGCTGTTGTGGTCCATACCTTCACACGGATTCTCGCTCCCGCCACTACACTCTTGAGACGTGCACGTCAACACCCTTGCCATACGCAGGGCACCAGGGGCGGACAACATCTGATCCAATGGCATCTAAGAACACAAAGCAATGCCTGCAGCTGCGATTTCAGCTGCCAGGATACGCCGCTCGGTCTGCGATTCTGCCGCCCCGAAGGACAGCACCTTGCCACATTGGTTGTGTGCGCTTGGGTATGGGCACTAGAACTCACACGCGTGGCGGCCTGTGTGCGGGAGCAGGCCTCGTGCTTTCCTGACCCACATTCCCCACATAACGCCAGCTGCATCCACCATGACGCAAACGACTCCACCTCTACTTGGATAGTGTTGCACACAACCCCCGCCATCCCACCAGATTATCCTCTGCACCCTGGTCGCATCTACACCCACTCTGCACTCAATCCCCGATTCAAACCAATTGCGCATGTCCGCCCGGCCCCTCGCGCCACTCCTCGCAAGATTCAGGAGCCATCTCAGCGAAGTGCCCAGCCCACATGCAATTGGACCCCACACACCATCTGGCGAAGTCTGCCAAGCGCACGAGAGCCATGTGCCCAGGTTCCATCCGCGATCGGCAGACCTCCCCACTGCAACAAAGTTGCATATCAGTGATGGGGTCCTCTCCACCAGACCTGACACCATTGTCAACTAGGCCAGCCGACTGACCATCTCCCTCCTGCGTTCCATGGCTTTCAATGAGGGCCCTTCGTGTGGCATCAGCGCACACAGAACGGGGGGCATGGGCCATCATTGACTGAGGACGTTGGCGCGGCTGATCTTCCACTGGCCATCCCTCCCAAGAATCACGCTGTACTCCACGTCGTAGGTGCTCTTATACCTGTCGGCCTGCCGCCCGTCAGCCCCGTACATTGATGCCGACTCCTTGAGGGTCGCGACGACGCCGAGTCGACCGACGCCACCCCTGAAGTGAGTGGTGTCCACCGCAGACACCCTGCAGCCATCAAGCTTGTATTTCCAGAACCAGCCCTGCTGCGAGACATCCTGCACCTGGTTGGCCCACTCCCCCAGCATGGGCTCCGCCAGGACGGTCCTCAGGAGACGGCTGTCGTGTCTCGGGCCCAGGGCGAGCGACTTTGCGTACTGCGTTGGCAACATTTCGTCGTTGAGAAGGAGCTAACGTCGGTGCACCAGTGGGGAATATGACAGTTGGGATGCCACCATGATGGTCGCAAGCTTCAAGACGCAAATTTCAGGGACTTCAAAGCCATAGTTCAAGGTATGAGGAGTCTTGCGGAATTTCCCCAGGCAGGTGCCCAGTGCTGGAGACATAATCTTCTCTTTAAAAGTGCAAGTCGACGGCCACAAACAACTGACTGTGACTGTGGCAGCGAAGAGCCGCTGTGCAGTAACCGCTATTGGTTGAGCAGCCTCTGTACAATTTCCAGTCTCCTGACTTCCTTTGGGATGTGATTAAGGCAGAGTTGAAAAGCAGCATGGGATGGCGGCGTCAATGTTATGTTCACCAGGCTACCAGGCCACCATGGGGTAAAGCAACAACATGCACATTCACATTCACAATAAACACAAACGCACGTATCAATTGCCGTGTCATTGCTGGTCATGAAGCAACCACTGGCAAGGTACCATGACCGCGTGATGTGACACTCTCTCGTCCTTGTCCTACCTGCCATCTCTTGATCAGCTTTTCTGCCTGTGTAGATTCGAGGGGCGTGTCAAGCGGCTGGCCACTCAGCGTCGTCTTCTGCTCCTCAGTCAATGCATAGCTAGGCGACTCGAGAGCGGATGCCCCAGCTACGATGTCCAGCAAGCCGCGGTTGGATAACGAATATATTGCAGCGCCCAGGGCAACGCCACCAGATAATATAGCCAGGACAGGCAGGCGGCGCCTGGAAAGTGGGGACAAGACGAGGAAGCATGTTAGCAGACATTTTCATGTTGCAATACGTGGAAGCAGCTGAACACAGCGTTTGGCAGCTGCCACTATTGAGACAGTGTGGGTACCGACACAACAACAAGCACAGGATAGTTCTGCTTATAACACCTGACCTTTTGTTGTCGTCAAATAGCAGTGTCTCTGCTGGAGGGGCGTAAATGTCAGCATCAGCTCCTCGTGTCTGCGCATCATGGATGGTTGCCACCTGCCCCTGCCCTTGGGCAATCTAGTGAAGGTAAAAGATAGCACAAGCCACCATTAGATGCAACAAGGTACCACAAACCAGTAACGATGACAATTCCAGACACCATCAATTTTAGGCACCGTCAGGACGAGGTCTACAAGCAGTTTGAGCTGTGACCATGGCAAACAGGAAAACTTAAACCAGAACCACGCTGATAATAGGTTCCATTTCCTGGGCATGGAATGGGATATGGGGCACCCATTCCCTGGATATGGTGGCAGGATGCGCTATATCCAGGATTTGCATACCATATGGTTGCGATACGCAACAAGTTTTCCGTTGCAGCAAAGAGACTTCAAGAACAGCAATCAGGCTAATCAGGATAAGAGCGTCCAATACGACAACATCCTCACCCAACGCTGCTCTGCCTCTAATCTTCTGTCTGTCTGCATTCTGTTGGCCACTGGAACTGGCATCGATCCAATGGACTCGTTAGCCTTGGATGGGAGCATTCCAATACTTCCTCCTTGTGTCGCAGCTGCTCGCTGGGGTTTCTTGCCCCTCAAGCTCCCCACCGATCGGTTGTCTTTAAAATATGCGACCAGGGATGCATCAGGTAACTGGGCACTCGTGTCACGGAACTGGAGGAAAGCCTGTGTCCCAGCCACGGCATCCCAAGCACTGAATATATTGGAAAAAGGACAAAGTGTACACGAGATGTCCACATTGCAATTGATGAGTGATAGGGATCGCAGTACCAATACACACTTCCGGGTAAATATCATTCATTCATCCATAATGCACATGCCAGCCAGGCTTCCAAGTAATTGTTACAGCATCTGAGTGTGCTCAAGTTCGCAAGGCCCAGTGCAACACTTGGTACAATGGGTGGGGCTCAACCCTGCGAGCCTGAATGGTTGTCTGAACACTGTCGCCAGAAGATACAACCAGAAATTGGAAACAAGATATGGCAGAGAATGGACGACCACTGTGGAGCTGCTTCTGCATTATGACAGGCACCTTGGATAGCCAACGCTCAGCAAACAGGCACAGCCCTGGCAGCAAGTCTGTGTCTCCCTGAGGCGAGTGCTGACGGACGAACGTCAGTGTCTCATTTCTTGCAGGCAATGCCTTTGCTCCAACGGCAGCTGACTCTGATGGTGAGTATCCACCCTCAAAGGAACGATCACCACCAAACTGTCTGTAGAGACAGCACAATACACTTCAATAGCAAAACAAGGACACTGGTATCCCTGTATGCCAGGAAGTGCTCAGTCATATAGAATTGCAACTTCTGTTTCCTCACTACAGTGATTCCAAAGCAAGTGCTTTCAGGTCAATTGCAGCATTGTTGAAAATTGTAGTACTGTGAATCCTTACTGTAAAATGAGTGGAAAATAAGTACGATGGCTGTATGGTTGCAAGTTCCACACCTGTTGAGCACTGTGCTGCCCACAAATGCAGTTCGGTCACAGTGCTACCTGAGTGGTGGCAGTGGTAATTCTGATACATATTGCATGAGTTCTGCCACGATACCATAAGTGATCGTTACTGTCCAACTGGATACCACCCACGGATCATGAGCACTATCTTGGTCACCTTGTTACCGGCAGCTGGAGAGTGCTGTTAAGAACCATATTCCTACAAAGAAGATTTCTCCACTTGACTGCAAACAAGAGCTGCAACAAGGCACTGCATGCCATTGAGGATGTGCCGCTTTATTCCATTCTCTAATCACCAACCTCTCCTTTGTCTGCTTGTGGCTTGTGGCAATGTTTCAACACAGACCATAATGCTTTAAATCGTTCCCCAACATCTGAACAAAGGCAAGCACTTGGCAAAGTGAACTGCACCTGCCATTGGCTCACAGGTGCAAGAACAGCATCTTGTGTCCTGTGACAGTAACTCTCATCAGACAAAACATCAACAGCAAAACATGAATGGCAAGCAGCGCACAAGAGGAGCTCATCCACAAATGTTTCACACCTGTTCTCCATATCTTTGCCAGTCCCCTCCACATTGTCCAGTATATAAAGTGCACTTTCCACCTGCCCCATAAGTACCTTGCAGATGACGTGCTCGACATGCGCCTCTCGTATCTGACAAACACAAGGTTGTGGCAGTCATGTCAGGTGAAGGTCCTCCTACAGCTTTCCCATTTGCTGGCATGGACAACCTGGACTTGGCAGTCTTTCGTTTTCCATCCACCTCAAAAATATCGACTGTGATGCAGTACACTGAAAAAATGAAACAAAAATAGGGACTCAACACTCCCCAGGGCTGGCAGTAAGGGAAGTTATCATCACCTTGCCTGGCAAAGAGAGAATTTCATCTATGGTCTGCAGGGGTGCCGGTTTCTTTTGGACAAACCCAACAACGATGTGCGCAACTGCTGCCCTCAGCAGGACGCCTGGGTAGTACCTGAGTCACCATAGAACAAGGATCTGCACAAATGTTCACAGGTTAAAGTTATCAAAATGTGACGATAGTTCCCTGCTCACCAATCAGGCGATGTTGCCAACATTCACAGAGCATCTTGTTTAAACATTGACGCCACGTTTGAGGCATCCAGGCACTAAAGGAGCCAGTACCCTCACAACAGGCACCCCATCAGCGCAACAAAAATCGAAGTCCACATGACACTGATAACTGACAATCCAGAAAAGATGATTAATGGCACAAATGGCCCACAGACTGGACATGCTGGCAAGGGGAATAGGATACCAGCTGAGCCGAAAAGCATGCAAGAGTCTTGCACAACCAATCCTCTGCATTTTTTGGTGCCTGCCTGAGGACACCCACCAAACAGCTGTTTTACAGTCAAAGTTACAGTGACAGTCGGCAACCAAGTCAGAAATGCCAGAAGGCAAAAAGATGCTGCTGCTTACAGGCCAAGCACTCTACGGCAAATCCTCACAGCAATGCAGTTTTTTGCTGCACAGCATGGAACTTTGAGAAATTCAGAGTGTATTTGTGGCGTGTACCACAACTCGGAACTCCAGCCCTACCACTGGACACATTTTGGTTCCCTGAGGACCTTCGGCCAGTCTGTCATCTCCAGCACCTCTACAGATGTCAGCAGCTCTAGAGCCTGCTTAACATAGTGCCGATCCACAGAGAACTCTGGCGTCTTGTTTGGGCTGTTTTGGTCAGGCACCGCCAGCAATTCCTTTGCAACAGAACAAGTGTGACTTCAACAAACTAACCAATTGGCTTAGAGAATGGTCAACACTTCAGGTAGTGCAAACTTGGCAACACTTGCCATGACTATCTTGCAGGGCAAACGGCAGGTCCAGCATAGTTCAATTTCTTCATAACGGCCACATCTTCATCTCGGAGTGTGGCAGCTACACATCAACGATGATGGAACTCTTGCCATACCGTTGACCTACCTGGAGTATCGGTAGGGCCTGTTTCCTACCCTGGGCATTCTCTGGAGTTAGAGGCAACTGCGCATAACAAGACAAGCTGTCAGCACAATTTACAACTGCCATTTGGTGCACATTTACTTCATTCCAAATGCTGACATTCTGTTGAACACTCAAAACTTATCCTCTTCAATCTAGCATATGCTTTCCAAGGTGAAACCAAAGGTCCATTAAACCTTATGAAAGACCTCGTGGACTGTGCAGCTCCTCCCCAAGGCCCAGCAACAACTACCAACACAGAGACATCACACATAATAGCAACTATTGAGTACCAATTGACAGGCATTGGCAATAACGTACCCTGAGCTGGTCCAATACACATTGGGGCACATATTTCTCAAGGGCATCCTGAATCTCGTTTGCCAGTTCAGGTGCCAATGCAGGGTTGCCTCCTTCCTCCAGATACTGCAGGGCTTCCTCCATCCGAGCGCATGCTGTGGACACCTCAAAACACCATAACAAAGCCCATGCTCAACATGTGAATGAAAGGTTCAAAACGGCAACAGTTGATGAATTAGCGACATGCAACCAAGCCCACTCCCTGAATGGTCATTTGTGTTCCTGCCCACCACTGAACTGGATACCGGAATCGTGCCTTCTGCAGCTACTTCATGACACCACATCCATTCACAGTTCAAATGCTTTGGTAAGCGCATAAAGTGTGAGACATTGCCCCTTCTGTGCTGTAATGTCACAGCTGCACAAGCAAAACTCCAGCAACCCCTCGTATGCGTCACCACTGCCCGAATTTCTGCTTTGCATTCTGTTGCCTGAACAAAAGTGTTCACAGGAGAGACAAGCTTTCCTTGCCCAGCCTCCACAGGCAGCCTCAAAGCTGCTCAAGAGAACACATTACAGGCCTTCATGTTGTCCACACTCCAAGGCAGTCCATGTTCCATCCCCAGCTGCCTTCACCAGCAGCTGAAACATACCTCACTGGATGTTGAGAATAGGTCATCGGCCTGGCCGAGCTTCGCAAGGGCCATTGAGAGCAGCAGATCCCGTTTCATGCTGGCACCCTCCTTTGTGTTCAACATCTTGTTCCCAATCTTCAGCACCAGGTCCATCCGGCCCAACTGCACGGGCACAGCCACAGCACAGCCTGCCTGTCAGTATGTGCTATGTGCCACACCGCAATCTAGCAAATGCACAAACTGCAAAATGTTTGATGCACTATCCATATGTCACTAACCAGCTACATGACTGCGACATTGCCAGATATGCATGCTGCAAGCCTGGGGAACGTCCAGGCAGAACCAACCCTTGGAATGCCATGAAGCATTGTTCAGCTACTGAGTGGAACTGGAACAGGTTGGCATTCTGACAGCCAGCGGTGAAGCCAAGTGAAGTACAAAGATCAGTCAATGTCATCATGCGATTCAGAGCTCGTCTCACCAATGCTGCTGTCACCCATAGGCTTTTGCGTTTTGCATTTTACTTTGGGGTGTGTCTGTTCAGCTTTCAACAAATGCAATAATGCAGGTCAATGCTGGCTCCTTGCCCAGTCCATTGATCCCTGGGAGAAGGTAGTGGTGACCACTACTGTGATATTCAGCACAGGGCCTTTGCCACAGCTCACAGCTGTGCTGGTGTCCAGACCATTCGCGTGCCGGCAGCAACAGTGATGACAAACAGCTGCGCGATGTGGTGCAAAACTGTGCCTGCTGGCAATGAAGTACCACACAGGTGCCACATGTGGTGGCAATATCCACATTCAGCATCGATTTGGCCCTAAGTGTCATACCAACAATGCACCAAGTGGCTGGATTTTCATGTTGTTCAACGTGGGGAATGCAAAGCATTCCAACATAAATGTGTGCTTGAGGTGCTGTTCCTTCCATTCTGCATGGAGCTGCCTTAAGTCCAATCACACTTCACAAGCTCGTCTCAAAACTTGCATCATACAGGATAGAATACCATTCTCAGCATCGCGTAATGCAGTTCGACCTTCGACTTTCGACTGGATACTTAAAGGTTTCTTTCCAAGGATTCCATCCAGAAACAATGCCAAAATGGTCAGAAATTTGAGAGTCAACTTTCCACGCAAGATATTGCTCGGCAATTCTCAGCAGGAGTGCCGCTTTGGGCTCCCGTTGCTCAGCAGCGAAAGGGCACATTGTAGAAGAGCTATGCTGAAGGGTGCACTACAATATGGCACTGCATGTTCATAGCCAGCCCCCTAACTACTGCCTGCCCCTGAGCCCCAACGATGGAATCAATGCATTCATCTTGACTTCGAACCTGGACAAGATGGGCCACCGTCCCAGGCACTAGGTTCAGGGGTAGATTCAGGCCCTTAGATTGCTGCCAGGCTGGATCTTCAACAGCAGCCTTCCCATTAGATTTGAGGAGTTCCTCTCTTGCATCCTCAAGGAGTTGCTGCCTTCCAGCAGCCACCTTGGCGCTATATCCATCCTCGAGCTTCTCTCTGATTAGCCGGTCGTAGGCAGACGTGACTTGGGAGTGCAGATATGCCTGGTCGTTGTGCAGCCCAAGCAGCTGCAGGCCAGAAGACAGGGCAATGACTTTGCAGAATGGAAAGACATCGCATGCTGTGGTTGTTCCCTACCCTGAGAAGCCTTTAATACTGTTGCCAGTTGGAAAATGCCGCAGGGCAGCAAACAGCAACGCATGCATCATCACATGCAATGGAGGAGTGATGTGGAAATGGCATTTTAGGGGTGTGGACAAAATTGAGGACTGAGGCTGTCGCAGTGCAAGAGAACGTCTAAACGCAAAACATCGATCGTTCGGGCATCTGGCAACGTTATAAGACTTTATTCCTTTGTTTGACTGTGCATTTGAAGGCAGAGCAAATTCCACGAAAGGTGGCAAAAAGTGTGGACGCGCCGGCGCTGCTGCCCTAAACGACGCCCCATTCTACCAAGCAGCTCTCAATTCCAGCTAAAATCCCACCCCCACCCCTCCACATGGAACAGTGAGTCATTCCGCCAAGGTAACGACGACAATTTTTATCGAGCACCTTATTTGAACTCTGGCAACAAAAGCACAGCGCTTTGCCTGTTGTTGGCTGGGTCCATGGTATTCCGCGAAAGCCACGCGCCCAGCTGCACAGATCTCACCAACTGCTGGCGTTGCCTGGGCATTAGCACCGCAGCGGCTCCTGACCGCATTTTCCACGCCAACAGCCACGGCGTGGAGACACGCCCACCGACAAGCCCTATGCGTTGGCATTGACGGATGTTCCCAAGGCAATTGGGGCGAAGGACTGGGGGTGCTGCGCGTCAGGCGCCCCCGGCCGGGTGACGACCACCGCGGATGGCCACTCTACACTCCTGCACGCCATCCAACCGTTCCTCCGGGCAGACGGCCGCGCCGGTGGCCGATCACCGCCCGCCGCACCACACACAGCATGCCTGCGCGCGGGAGCGGCGCCGTGGCAAAGGCCCGCTCCCGGAGGCCCTCGACGCATGCCTCTCCGTCGCCGGCCCCCACACTACCCCACCCTGCAACCTTTCGAATCCTCAAATTCATTGATTCACGAGCGTCGCGCGGTGCCGCCCGCGATCTCGCGCGGCGCGTGCCCCCCCGCCCACCTCGCAGTGGTCCACGTCGATCGTGATCCCCCTCGGCGCGGCGGTGGCCGCCATCGCGCCCGCGCACGGCCAGCCGGGCCTGCCCGCGCCTCGGCCGCCCAGCGGACCCGCGCGCCCCAGGCCGCCCGGCCTGTCGGCATCCCGCCTGCCCGGCCTGCCCGTCAGGGGGCCGGTCGGTCGGCTGGCGAGATTCCCGCGGGGCTGCATGGCGGCGGCGGGCGCGCGGCGGAGGCCGCGGGTGGGGTGCCTGAGGCGAGGCCACGGGCCGGCGACGGCTCCAGATTCCGCCAGCGTGGGCAGCCCGACGCGCGCACTGCCAGGGGTAGGCGACGGGGCCGCGCCCTTGGGCCCGGACCGTGTGCGGCGCAGGGACGTTACTGAGGGACGCGTTTATGTACGGGATGTACGGTTTGGCGAGGATGCGAACCGCACATGGGGGACCGTGAAACGGTGCAAAAGGGGGGCCTGCCCGCGAACGTCGAAGATTTTCTTTTTGCGATAGTGGCAGGGCGGTAGTCGGCGCCGTCAATTGCCAATTGTTCGGTTAGGCGCATGATGACCACCGTTTCACTGGGTGGTTCGCTTATGCTTGATGGCCAGCGATTGATATGCACTCTTGTGCTGCTTGATATGAGCCGGGAAAAACACTGCTGTGGAAAAATACCGCTATGAATTATGCAAAGGTTCCTCACGCCAGGATGTCCCTATTCCTGGCGCGGCATTGAGCTGGCGGCTTCCCAGCCTGTGTGTCATCCTTTGCTTGATTGGCAGTTTGTGACAAAAAGAAAACTACATGTTCATGAAAATCTCTTACAACCATGTCTTTGATTGACTTCTGGAATTGTTTGACCTAATCTGGTTCTTTTGGTTTCGATCACACTCATGTTCGTTGGGGACTACTTGACCTTCATGCAAGAGCGCCATGCAGTTCAGAGAGAGATGCTTGTTATGGTGTCTTGTCGACAACGTGCAAAAGTGTCTTGTGGGAAAGTTTTGGATGTTCTTGAAGGAAAAGCCGTTGATGCGATTCAAACGGCCCCCTTTGGAGTGCACACGGGAAGCGCGAGTCCACGATCGATCGCCGATGCTTCAACGGCATTGGCACAAGGCCAGGCGCAAGGCCACGCCACACACAAAATGCTCAGGGCTTACATATTTGTTCACCCTTCCCATAGCGAAGAGCCTTGCCGACGGTGGCAAAGACCCCCGCAACCGAACAGTTCGCATTTTCTAGCACCCACAGATCTCTTCTTTTGACGTGACAACGATCATCATCCATCAACAACCAGCTACACGACATTTCAAAGATGCCCACTCATCACCACAATAATTCTGTGAATCCTAAAACGTTTTTCTTTTTTCTATAGATTCAGAATGACTTGCATATAAGCCGTCTTCTTGCCGTGCATACAAGTCGCACACCATAATGCGTAAGTGATCCACCTAGTGAAACGGTGGTCATTACGTGGTGTTGCGAACAATTTGTCTTTCCCGAAACTTTATAGCACTGTGTGCGCACTCTCACACGCTGGCTGCACCTAAGTGATGAGGTGGTATGCGGCTGCATTGTTGTATGAGCGCTTTGTGATGGATGAGGGTCCTTGGAATATGTGGACGGGTGGCTGGGAAGGCATGAAGAAATCTGGTCGTGTTTGGTGCCACCATCGGCAAGCGAAATCGCGTTCGAACCTGGCGTCGTGCAGGCAAATATATACGCCCGAATTGTACATGTGCGTGGCCTTCCATATGGCCGGGTACTAACACTGTTGAAGCAGAGGCGATCGTGGATTCGCGCTTCCTGTGTGCGCTCAAAAAGAAAGCGGTTTGAATCGCACCAACCGCCTTTGTTTCAAGACAGTGCTGTGTTATGAGAAAAGGCTAACGCTGCGCAGCACCTGTGGAGATGTCGTCTGCCGCCAAAAAATTGGGAAAGAGCAGATATGGCGATGACAGACAAAGGAAGGAAAAAATTGAGAAGAAAACTGAGAAAGAGTCTGTATTTTAGGCCTATTTGCCATGACGACAAGATGAAACTTTTATTCGAATAAATTCATGAATTCTCATGAATTCATGAGAAAAGCCCTTTTGAGGCTGCCGCTTCACGCGTTGTTTTTGGAGGCTCTACCTGCGAACTCAAGATCGGATCCATCAGACACCATAGCGTTCGCGCAACCACGATGTGCATGCGCTGAAATGCCAAACCAGCGATTCGCAGTCTGGTGGCAATGATGGGATGTCGGATGAGCGTGTCACAAGCTGACTGCGCTTTGAGCATACTCACAGAAGCATGTCTTGTACAGTACTTCAAGTACATGTGTGCATTTATTTCTCATCTGTCCACACATTTTGATCTTGATGACCGAAGTGGTTGGGTGTTTCAAGCCACAATTTGTTCAAGATTCTCTGGTTGAATCCTTGAAGCAGGAAAGAAAGTACAGGAATGAGCCTATGCGACAGCTCGACCGTGAAATTCGTGACGCAAATGAATTGATAAGGTGCATATTCCATGCCAGGGTGCCCGATTTCCTACGGTATGAACAAGTGCTCCTGAACTGGATGTGGGCCTGGCATTTCTCGTACTTTGACCATCAGAGCGTTTGGATGCTGCCTGAAGGGGGCAGCCGGGCTTCTGACTTGACGCGGGACCCGCATCAACTCACAAACCCGGTGTGATTCCGGGCCTGTGATATTTGCTAATGTGTTGTTTGCGGCATGCCTGGCAGTAGTTTGCGATTAGTGGGCAGGCGCGCTGAGCAATTTCGATGATGGAGCTCGCTATGGAAACATCGGAATGTCCACATGCAGTTGACCCCAACAGATGGCGACCGACTTGTCCGGCGTTTGACCGGTATAAATCCGCCTTGCGCCCCGCGCTCTGACCGCTTTTCGACCATAGCCCTGTTGCTCTCTTCTGACTTCAAGGCCAGCACCGGCATTCCAAAGTCGGAAACGAGGGCTCGCTCAATCCGAAACCCTCTGGCACCCTGCCTTGCACGGAAGTAGCGCTGCAGCGTGAGAGTGGCGCAAGCAGCGCGGGTTTGTTCGTTAACGGAAGGTGGGCGCCTGGGAATTGACCGACGCACCAAGACCCGCGCATCCCAGCCCTTGGCGGATCGGCAATTGACAAGCTTGAGCGCGCCTGATTTTCGTGGCTGTTGCCTTAATGCGCTTCCGTGAAGTCAGTTAATGACCCGCGACGGTGATGCGCGTTTCTGGACATCGCGAATTGCGCAGCGCGGTCTTGCGGATTTCGCCCTCTGGTGCGTTTGCCTCGACGCTTGAGTTCGAGAATTTGGCGTCGCTCCGCAGCTGCACATGTTTGCTGCAGTTTCGAGGGCCAGCGTTTTCGCTCATCGTTTATGAAAGATCTGTTACTTTCAAAACTCAACAAACAACACATATTGATTTAATATTTTGCATATAATTGCGCGCATCGCCCCGTGAATACGAGACTTGCAAGTCAACAACCCATGGGCTCATTGCCTTTCAAGGTTTGAAGGGGCTGAGGACGTGAACAAACGCAAACCAAACTGTGCGAGCCACAAAGCATGCGTCCCTGCGCAGGGGCTCATTTTCTGTGATGAGATTGGATCCCTGTTACACGCGCTCATACCTCCCCACTGCAGGTTGAGCCGACAGAACATCACAAAGGGGGCGCCCGTCCTGCGATTCGCACTTCTGCGATCAGGAAAGCCACAGCACATGTCCTCCATTGCGGCGGAGCAGTTGCGGCGGAGCAGTTACGGCGGAGCCAAAGGCGCCCGCTTTGGCCACGACAGCCACCACGGGAACTCTTCTCAACGCAGCCTCTGTGAACTTCCGGAAATTTGCTAGGCGTTGATGCAACATTGATGGGCACTTCCATCAATGCTGGTCTTAAGAGCTGGTGTGTGTAGAGCGGTCTTGATGCAATGTTGCATCAAGAGCAACATGGCAACGTTGCATCAATGCTTGAATTGATGGAGTGTTGCTATCAAGGGCTGTTGCTGGGGTGTTGATGCAACATTGCAGCAATACGTCTTGATGGTACCGTTGCCGCAAGACACGTTGTTGGAATTTTGGATCAACGACTGTGCACATCAGCGTTGATGCTGAGTTGTATTGCCAAAAGGGAGAACAATGTTACTGCAATACGGGCGTCCATCAACAGGCTTGCAATGGGCTCATTCTTTGATATTGAAAAGTTGATGCAAGGCCCGTTGATGGCAACGCTGCCAGATGGTTCTGTAACTGGCGTGTTGCACCGAGATATCTTTGTTGTTCTTTGAGTCAACCTGTGTCAAGTACACAGTTGGGCCAAGCCTTGGGGAAGATATCGATCAGCAGTTGTGCGCAATGCGTCGGTGGTTGTGTCCCCTTGGTGTTGCCATTGGAGGCTGCGCTATGTGCTTTTTGCACCTGGTGCCCTTCTGTTTCCATGTGCATGCAGCTGTTGCCACGTTGTTAGATCGTTGTCTCCCTGAACTGCCTCACCCACGCATCCAACCATGTCTGGTAGTGGACAGCATCGTCACTGGCTGCAGCAGCTGCACCCCTATCTAAGATGCACTCTTATCTGCCATGCAGGGGCCACACGCAGCAAGGGCATGTGCGTCACAACTCCCAATGGGTAGTGCACAAGCATACAACACCATGACATTAACTACAAGTCGTCCACAAAACTGTTTTGTTACAAAGATCATCCTTCCGCTCTCTAATCAGGTTGTTTATGCGAAACCTTGATGACAGCCCCCTTATTGAACCCTGGAAAAGATCAACACCACGCTCATCCCTGCCTTCTTTGAATCCTCGTTGTCTTGGCTGCTGTCCACGACAAGCGACATGTAAACGGCGCTTCCGAACATCAAACGCCTGAGCATCGGGCAGCACACAAGGGACCATTCAGCTTGTCATGCCTACCACGTTCAACACACTTGCCTTTGCTCGTGGCGTTCGCTGCTGCTGTGGAGGCCTTCGCCGCCGCCGCCGCTGCCACCATTGATGGGCCACACAACCGCCTACAGGTCAGGTCGAGGGGCTTCTCACCTGATCGCTGATCGCATCGTCGCCGCCGGCTCGCTCCTATCCAGAATTAGTGCCAGGTAGGCAGCGTCTTAGTGCTACAGCGCCCTGAGCGTCAGGCGCCACACATGGGAGCCCTCAGCACGTTGCGGTCAGCCCACCCGTCAGTGTTCTTGGCGTTTGCCGCCTCAGCCGCCACCACCGTT